GGCTGAAATTGGTGTTAGTTATGTTCTAATTTAAACGGTGTAACAGAGCAACTCAACATTGCAGAGGGTCAAGAAAAAGGCCTCCATTATGTATTTACAGTGTTTCTGTCATAACGTGGTGGGATGGGGAAATCAGAGCGTGACACTTGATGTAGCAGACAGGTTGGGTGACATTAGGGATGTCCAAAACTACATCTTTTCAAATGAACTAGTTATCTATCTTTTAGCTTCTGCCTAAGACAGAAACTTACACACATTTGGAAAGACACAAGGCTGAATAAATGATAAAAATTATAATTTTGGGTTGAATTATCCATTTAAGGAGGCTTTAAATAATTAGGTTGGTTTTGGGTTTGCCTGACCCGTTTCTTTGGGGAATTTACACTCATAGCACGTTAAAACATCACACTCTTGATCAGGACAAACTGTGTATCATTAGAAAGATTAAAGACTCCAGCTTCGATATTTGACCACCGTTATGATAAAACTAGATTGCAGTGACAGTAATTTCTTAATTTACGTCAGGAGTGCAAAATAATCAATCTGTAATGTATGATATTTTGAATAGAATGAGAACACGCATTAATATTCAGTCACGTCTGCTGCGGTTTATTTGTGTTCACATAGCTGCACTGAACAGCGTCCATTAGGGCTTATAGTCAAAAAGTGTGCATACTTGGAGAAATATTGATGTATTTGCAAGTTTACAATTAATTTCTATTCATTTTCCACTGAATAATGTGATCTAATGAGCATTAGCTGTTTTCAACGCTGTCTGTCTTCTGCGATGACTGTTCTGACAGTCTGAGAGGAAGATGATTTGCTGCTCATCTGTCACTCATATTACGCGTTCATAACCCGCCCTGTCTCCGATGATGAACTTCCACTAGGTGGGTAAGTGTGTACTGGGATCAAAGCGATGTGGATGGGTAAGCTAGGCAATGCCAGAATAATGGCTGGATAAAAACAGAAGAGTAATGATAAAAGAATAATGAGGATTACGTCTCATACCTGGCAGAGGTCGCAATGCAAAGAGTAGAAAATATTGCTGCAGGCAAAGCAAGCTCACCATTCACGATGTGCGAAATATTGGATGAAAATTCTAAACACTGAATTGGGAGTGGGATTTATATGAATGGAGGGGAATGGACTGTCTTTTATTTTCATCTTGCCTCCGTATAATGCATACTAAAGTAGTTTCATAAGCGCAGCGCTGTTGTGTTTACAGCGGTAACCAAGAAAACATCGCTGCTCTTCCATAAGCGCCACCTGCTGTCAGAGGGTGAATTTGCATTCTTGTTCAGCCCATCTGCCGTTTTTGTTTCATGCAAAGGTTTTATGTAGTACAGTTTCACAAACTAAAGTCAGACCATTCAGTTTTTGCTTTAAATTTTGAAATTATACAATCTAATTTGAAATTATACAAAAACTGTATAATTTTTTGTATAATTGTGAAATTGCTCATGCAGCAACTTTGTTTGGATAGTGATTAAAATGCAGTGGTTCTGCAACGATTTCATACATTCTGATTCATATGAAGTCCCAGTCAGGGAAAAACCGTAATAAACCTTCAAACTGCCACAATCCTAAAAAAAAAAAAAAAAAAAAAAAAACGTCAAACCGCCCAGCACTAACAGACTGATATACTGGATAATTAATTGATTAAACTGTCAATTATATTATATTATTATATATTAGTATTATGTGACAGCTAAAATCTAAATGTAAATATAGCACATTCACAATAAAATTATTATCCAATGCCAGCAAACATGTATACAGTATCAACCAATATAGATACATTTATATTAGAAATTTAAAGCTTAACTAAAAGTTAAAGCTTGTTTTGTGTAATTATTGCATGTGAACATCACTAGACCTTTCACAGAACAATGGTTCCCATTTAGATAAAACTGGAAAAGGCACTATCTGAACTAAAAAAAATAAAATAAAAAAATAAACTACTAGGCCACAGCTCTGACGGCAATCTGAAAATTAAAATAAAGGATAAGATCTTTCAAATCACTCATCATTCACAACAATATTGTTATGAACTCATCTGTTTACAAGCAACTACACATGCAAAATTGCATGACAAATATGCAAACCTTTCTGCTGGTGTAACTAAATACTAAATGACAGGAGACAGGCTTCTGTGGGAGTTTTAGGAAGTTTGCAGTGAGCAGGTACACGTCATTCCAACAAAACCTGCATACCACTATATCCTGCTTTCCCTTCCTTTCCTCAATGTTTTTTTTCTTCTCCCTTATTTCTATTCAGTAAGCGAACCTCATATTGGACTAAATGATGAATTTAGATCCTTTATAACTGGGATTAGCAATCACTAGCTTGCCTATAAGTACACTGAAGTACTTCCAGATGATCCTGTCTGTTTAAAGGGGGGGGTAAAATTTGGTATTGAGGGTTTCTTGGTAGCACTAGTGGCTGCCTGGTTTTGGGGAACTGGCTCTCCACTTCTGGGAGCCCAGCCAGAGTCACAATCCTATAGCAATCCTCGGATTAGTTATGAACCAGATTCCACAGATCTCAAGATTTGCATGCTATATCCAATTATCTTTCCTCCCAACTGGAGGACTTACTCGCACAAAGTGCATTACTGGCCACTTGAGAAAAAAAAAAAGAGACAAAAGAAGGGTAGACAAAAAGAAGGAAGAGTCAGAGTTTCCCCAAAATTCCACCACCAGGAAGTTTACAAACAAATAAAAAAATAACGGTTTAATTCTACGACTGCAAAAAAAAACCTAGTCACCGTTGAAGCCCTGACTTGGAGAAGCCAATATAACTGCAGAACTGACAGTGAGGAGGATTTGACTCATGGGAACCCACTTGTTTTTCTGCCCCTGATCCACTGACACGCTAGGGAATGGGCACTGTTATCAGCCTTGCCTGAGATAGCAGGCTTGATGGGGCGGCCGGTCCACGGGGATCCCAGAGCTGAAGTTAATCAGACGGAGACAGGTCTGGAGTGACCCATGGGACTGCCGCCGCCACCGCCTCCTCCTCCTCCATCTCCGCCACCACCAAAACTCGTCACGACCTCCACCGTAAGTGTCTTCACACAAAATTAGCCTGGTGTCTACAAACGCCTCAAAAATAGACAGAAAGTAGCCTCAGGTCTTCCAAGAAGTGGCCAGCCATTGGCTCGAGAGTTGATGACTAGGAAAATCGTTCAGTGGCGCCGAGTAACCTTTGAGGAACGAACTTGACGTGTTCACTTCATCCTAGCCCAATTAATAAAAACCCCACAACCAAAATTAATCCACTGGATGCAACATTCTGAAGGCAAATGGAGATTAATAGCCTGATATAAAAGATTTGGGAAAACATTAGAAACGGGACACAACACAGGCCGGATATGCTCTGACCTCCTGAACTTTGCCGAGGGTTAAAGGTCAGGGGAAACCGGTCATTAATCCACAGACTAAAACTCTGGGGCAGGGCATCTGAGCCTTTCAAACTCACCCCGAGTCCCTTAGGTCCAGTAGCAAAGCCTAGAAACTGAGCTGGAGTTTACTTAGAAAAGGCTGCCGCCGAGCATTTCAAACAGTCAATCAGAGCAGACAGCCTGTTTCACAACAGCCGTGTCAACTTCGAGCACGGGCGGTCAGTCGTGCAGAGGAGAGGGTCGTCAGAACACTCATTTCGACAATCCCAGGTGTCCATTGGGTGTTAGAAATGATTAGGCGTATAGATTAATTGAACACACGTCAGACTTAATTAAGCATGGCGTTTAATTAACCATGTAATTAATCTTATAGAGGCCATACACAGGCGCGCAGATTTCATTTGGTTGAAACTTCAGCAGGCAGCTGACACAAACTTGTAACTGTTCTCTGCTAGCAAGTCCAGTAAATTAAATGTCTGTAATAAGAATAGACACATAATCCCTTTCATGACTCAAGGCCCGAGATCTGGCCCAGGTGAGACTCCGGTGCTAGCAGTTAGTGGTAAATCATAGTTACTTTCATATAATCTTTGACATATTATCCTCCTCTGGAGTGCATTCACAAGGTTTTAACACTGCTTATGTGGTGGGTAAAAGATATTTTCACAATTTATATTTGATGCTAAATTTCTGCCAAAGAAAACATGCAGAGTGGGAAAGAGGTCCCCGTGTACTCTGCAAATTGTAGATACAGGCGCTAACACTCAAACTCTTCAAGACTGAGCCCAAGGGTTGAGCAAGGGTCAGTGTTTGTGGTCACATTAACATGGTCATTTGCAGTTGGAAAGCCGCGTCAACAAAGAACTACCCTTTCTGGTGGAGCTCCAGGCTTGTCCACACATGCTACTCCAGTTCTCCATTACTAACTTAAAGGTCTTCCGCAGATCAAGAGGTCAAAAGGGTCATGGTGCAGACTTTCAAAAGTGACCAACGATAGCCCAGCCTACTCTTAATCCTGCGGCCTTAAAGGGATAGTTCAAAAATGTAAAGTGTGTCCATCACCTTCTTCTTGTTCCAAACCTGTACTTTCTTCTTCAGAATGCAAAACCATACATCTTGATGTTGGTGCCAAATTGACTTTCTTTTTGTGGATCGAAAAATACATTTAAAAAAATATTTTCTTTTGTGTTCTACAGCAGAAAGAAAGTAATATAGGTTCGGAAACAATATGGAGGTGAGTAAATTACACCATAATTTTCTTTTTGGGGTGAACTATCCCTTTAAGCATCTGGGTTATTGTGCCAGAACTTTATTAGAACCAAAGATATATCCTGGTACGTCGACAACGAAGATAAAACAGATTTACGATGATATTTGTAAATATTATGAAATTTCCAAAAAAGCTTTAAAAAGTCATAACCTGAGTGAACATATTTATAGCACACACGTTCTATCAGAAATGACCCAAAAATGAAAATAAACAGCACCGGTAATTGTAAACAGATGGTAAACCTGGCCATTTGGGTTAATGCAGTCACCAACAGCAGAACTTCAGGTTCAACCCAACCCCACGGTGAATAAAATAGGAACTCACATAGTCGTGGAAAGCCTTGGCCTCGCTGGAATGTTCACATGTCTCCCGTCGATCTGGAGCTGCACAGTACAGATCCCAGAATACACTGCAAAATAAGGCAGAATAAACAAAGCTGAGTATCAAATACATGGGTGAACTTCACAGAACTAAACAGCTGCCTAACTAAACACCAACAGGCTGTGGTACACTTTACACATAAAGGCCATGTGAAAAACAGCACTGAATGGCATGGTTTGTTCTAGCCCCAGTTGTTCTAATTTTTCCAAATAGTTTCTCCTAATCTTTACCAAAAATGTTTTTTGGTATGCTTGGCCTCAGCTGTGACGCAACTGACCTACTCACAAATAAAAACACAACATTGCAGTTGTCATTTACAAGCCTTAAGGGTGTCTTTTAACATGCAATATAATTTAATTCAGTGCCTTTTCACCATTCTGAGCTTTTTTTGATGGAACCACCACTCTACCATAACAATGATACAATTAATTTTTAACATCCAAACTAATTTTATTTAGATTTTGCCAGATTGAGCTGCTGTTCTAAAAACTTCCAAGTTAGCGATTCAAGATGCGAGACCAGCAGGTTTTAGGGGGCAATGCAGATTTAATTTTTCTATGGTGTGAATGTGCAAAATGGTTTCAGATCAGGCATTGGCTCCAGCACACTGTAAAAGACACAGAGTAAGAACAGAAAACTGATCTTCTTCAGTATCACACTCTTGACAGAAGAACTTGACAGCTTCCATCAAAGCTGGGTCACTACATTCATAACCCCTGGATAGCTTCCCACTTTATGAGGTGTGACCTGCAAGTGGCTAATCAATTAGGCTTGATATTTGTTAATTAAGGAAATACAGTCCTTAAGGGCTTCTGGGGGAGCAGGTTGCACTCCAAATGGTCCCTTAATTACTTCATTGAAAATAAGTACCTGTTAAACAGGTCGGCATTAAACCGCTCTCACTCTTTAGATATTGATTTAATGGACGCTTCATAAAAGCTGCTGAAGCAGGGCTTAAGAAAATGAACACAAGTTGTTCCATCTTCCGAGGCAGCACTTTTTACCGCTGTGCATTATTTCTGCTGATGTAACAAAATTAGACTTCTGTTCTGAATGTGGGAAAAAGCTTACGTTTGATGTGACAGATTGCAAAAAGGACAAAATAGGCCACTCACGGCACAGCGACAGGTCAATGGGGCTAATCAGTTTCCACCCATTTCATATATCTTGCCGTGGAGTGGAAGCCATTTGACGAATTTGTGTTCGTGAGCATAACGCAAAGGATAGCTTATGACAGCTTTCATAAATCACTCACTGTTTATGGGTGGAATAAGAGAGCAAGGTTAAACAACGTTCAGCTCAAGACTACAAAAGTAGAGGAAATGCGGGAAAAATCAAGTGTTTAGATTTAAATGCAGATTGAATTCATACTTCTTAAAGGGAATAGGTCAGCCAAAAAATAAAATTGTGTCATCACTTACACAAAACTAAATGGATTTGGAACAAAATGAGGGCGTGTTTCCATGGAGCATAAAAGATACATTTTAAAGGCCACACTGGTTGCCATTTTCCATGAAATCACAATTAATAAAGTCCTTCAAAAGTCTTAAAAGGACACAAAAGTACCATAGAAGTATTATAAAGGTAGTTCATATGCAGATCTGTGAAAAATGAACGAATGGGTATAATTCATGATTAAATCATTCAGACATTTTCTGAGAACTGCATGAACTGATTCAATGAAAAGATTCTCGGACTCAAAATAACGATTTCATTCACAAATCAGACTTCTCTCATGAACATCAAAAACAAAAAACATTCAGTCTGATCTTCACACAGATTTAAAAAAAACTTGTACAGTATTCTTTGGACCACTTTTATGTTGCTTTTTTTTTTGTCATTTTTGAGCTTGATAGCCTTAGTCCTCTTTCACATCAAGATATTCTTCAAAAATTCACCTTTTACATTCCACTGAAGAAATAAAGTCACACATATTTGCAAGAATTTTTGGGTCAACTATTCCTTTAAAAAGGTGGTGGAGGTGATGAATTTATAACAATGATGAAGATCTACTCCACCTAAATGAGAGGAGGAGGAGTAAGCAGAGGCACAAAAGATAAGAAAAAGGAAATAGAATCATAGACGACAAGATGCATTACAAGAACCATAGATAAGTGTGTAAATGAGCGCTCAGCAGGAGGTACCATACATTAAAACCTACACCTCACATCCCATAGAAGCCATAAACCAGGAAACAAATAAAACAGGTGAACAGAAAAAGCAAGAAAGGCACTTTGACAGGGGAACATCATGCCTGTTCTTCGCCATTCAGTCAGTGCACAATAAAGCTGGGCGGCATTATCATATCTATCAGCTGCCGTTAAAGAGATTGCAGCTTTGTCAGAGAGCTGCTGGAGGGAGACAGCAGGACCATCTCAAATCCAATCAGGGTGCAGGGTAAATTAAATAAGACGCCAGTTACACTTTGTTACTGAAAAGCCGCAACTAGACACACATCAAGCTGGGGAGGAATGGCGAGCACAAGCAAGTCACGTTCGGTTACCTTGATTGCAGCAGGAAAACTTGTTTAATGCTTGTGCACTCTGCATGAACCAAGTGCGATTCGAGAGGGGCCACGACTGATACAGAGGGGCCAATCTTATGTTGTGTATTTATATGCAGAACTGTAGATATCCAAATCATGTAAAGTTTAGTAAGCTTTCAAATCAGCAATAAACAGTGAATAATGGCATTTATTCACTACTGAAAATGAGAACAGTCAAATACAATTTGTATTAAACTTTTCACTTTTCAGAAGTTAAAAACTGTAATTAATAAAAGAATCCAATCTGTGAATAGAGCACAACTCACATAAAAATGATAAAACTCAACAATGCTTTAATGCAGAGCCGAATGATGAGCTGATGAGTGGCAGTTGATGGTCATCATAAGGCTAGTGAGAGAGTGCGCTGTCTGTGTCTGTCTGTCTGTCTGTCTGTCTGTGTGTGTGTGTGTGTGTGTGTGTGTGTGTGTGAGTGAGTGAGATGGGAAAGCCTGGTCAAGCCATGACTCATATGTTGTTCCAAACCTGTGTGACTTTCTTTTTTCCATGTTACAAAAGAAATTGTGAGGAAAGTTTTTGTCCATATGTAATGAAAGTCAATGGTCATCAAAATAGAGCTTGATTTGTTTTCCTTCGCCTTTCATTGTGTAGTTAACTACAGGTATAAGGTTTACTCTATTCTTCTAGTTATCGATCAACATGTTCATTATGAAAAATTATTTAATAGACAAAATACATTTAATTAAACATGTCTGAAAATCAGAATGTCAGATACATACATTTAGTTGGCAGGTTCATGAATATTTTGACTTACCTGAAAAAGTAGGTGGAAAGAAAATAAAAATCACCACCAGCCCAGTTGGAATATTCTAAACTAAATACGTGTGAATGTTTTTAAAACACTAAATTTCTAAACGAAAAAATGTCCGTTGAATTAAAGTTTGACATTGGGCCACATTATTGAAACTACAAAACGTGATATTAATGATTATTAACAAAGTTAATATTAATGGGGATCTAAAGACAATCATAAAACCTAAGCTACATATACAAAATATCTTCATAATCTCAAGATATCAGTCAAATTATCCATAAGAAGCCATTTTACATGTGGTGAATGAAGTTCGAGGTTGCGGCGGTCATGTTCAAGTTGCAACTTGTGCATCCACCAAATTTCTTTTTATGAATATGGTTAATTTCGAAGTATTTATATCTAAACAAACAATATTCGTAGATTCTCTCTACCCCGTATTGTTCTGTGCTCTGCACAGCGTCATGCAGCCGCGTAGATCAAAGTTGCCGGCGCCGCTGGTTCCGTGGCTTGCAGTTTGTTTATTAGTTAATGTTGCAAAGATTTTTTAATGATTTTTAAAAGTTTAATTACAATTTTTATAAACCCATAATCAAGCCATGAGGTTTGAGACTGATTTAATTTAAAGTATTCCTTCTCAAGTCAGTCAAGTCATTTTCTTGATTTTTAGGGGAAGTCGTGGCCTAATGGTTAGAGTCGGACTCGTAACCCAAAGGTTGCGGGTTCGAGTCTCGTACCGGCAGGGATTGTAGGTGGGGGGAGTGAATGTACAGTGCTCTCTCCCACCTTCAATGGCACGACTGAGGTGCCCTTGAGCAAGGTACCGAACCCCCAACTGCTCCCCGGGCGCCGCAGCATAAATGGCTGCCCACTGCTCCGGGTGTGTGTTCACGGTGTGTGTGTGTGTTCACTGCTGTGTGTGTGCACTTTGGATGGGTAAATGCAGAGCACTAATTCAGAGTATGGGTCACCATACCTGGCCACATGTCACGTCACTTCTTCATTTATTAGAAATATTTAAATTCACAAGCGCAGTCACGTAACTTAAGACCTCCACCTCTGATATTTTCAGTTTTTAAAGCGTGGAACGTGAGATAAACATCATACATTTGCTTCGGCATCTCGCTTGCAATATCACTTGCATAAAAAAAATACTGGAGGAAAAAGGAAAAAAAAAAGAAAAAAACTCTAAATCGTTATTTATAAAAGAAAGTAATAAAACTTAAATACATAAAAGAAAACCTACAGGCACTTTTAAAATTAAAATATTCCAGCAAACAATCAGGAGAAAAAGGGGCATTGGGATGGAGCAATGACCTAAACCACTGGATTCGAACACTGGTTGCCCGCACATGCAACAGGCCTATACATGCACACTTCCCGCCATACCATGTCTCCAAAATGTTTTCCTTTTGATAATAATAGATAATATAAGATAACATCCCAGAAAAATAACTTATAATACCTCAATGTCACGTATTTCTGAGTAAAACAGTATATTCAGCAAGAAACAAATATGTAGGAGGAAGTAATTAGATGGCGTGGGACCTTACCTATTAAAATAAATGAGAGTTTGCGAAAACAATGCCTAAATAGCCATTTGGCAGTTTTAGACAAATTATTTAATTTAAGACCATACACATCAATCAATTTTTGGGCCATTATTTTGATTTAGTCTTGATTTTAAAAACATGCTGCAACACATCAGAAGTACTACATAGAAAACACTTGTTAGAAAATTGTACAACGCCCATGCAACAACACAAAGATGTCACCAAACAATATAAAAGAAATGCTTTATGTCCATTTGTTAACCCACATATGTTTCTTTTGCTCTCGGCATCAAGGCAATATTGTAAAACATGACCTGACCTAAGAGTTTATCAGCATAAGATGTAAATCAACTGCCTTTTCATTTGCAGGAAGTCTTTTTAGACTGTGTTAGAGGAGAAAGAGTATAAAGTAAGATTGATTGTTTAAAGACATGTTGTTTTCTACCTGTTTTAATTTACATCCAGGTCAACTTTAAATGCACACACAACCATATATTTTTTTTGTTTGTTTGTTTCCTGCATTAACACGGTTGCACTTAAATGAGTGTGATGGAGGTGAACACTTCTGTGTGGCTTTTCTCTCATCTCTACCAATCACAAAGAAGGATGTCATCTTTAGGCCATCTGAAAGTAAATCAATGTAACATTTCTGTCACTCGACTTTCTCCTTTCTTAAAAGACATCCAATAAACAAATCTATGCGTAAGATAAATCGCAAATGGTCATCCTTTTTTTTGCGATCCACACCTGCACCCCAACTAAAACCACCACCCCCAACCCCTTGCTTGCCTTACAACAGATGTGGATGATTGCCCCTCTCACCAAACTTTGCCTCCACCCCCTTCTGCCCCACCCCAGAGCCTGGTGCTACCATTCAAACACCCTTACAACAGGAAACTGCCTTAGACAGAAGGGAAGAGAATGCAAAGGTGGGGGTAGTGGAGAAGGAGATTTGGCTGTTTAACACAAAGAAGACTGGAATGCAAGGAGTTAATCTGTTTGAGGGTTCTTCCGCAAACAAAGGACAGGCCTACAGACAAAGGTTGGTGGGGGTACGCACAGGGGGGAGGGGTTGGCTTTCCCTTACCATCTGGCCCTTTTGTTTGGGGGAGGGGGGTTGGTGAGGAGGGCGGTACTTCGTGGCCCCTCCGAATCCCTTAAACCCCGACATGACCCCCCCTCCTCTACGTGTTATAGCTCCAGACAGACGCTCCTCCAATAGTGTCAACACCATACAAGGACCCTCCAAAACCTACTAGACTCCTAATAATCTCACAGAGGGGAGCCAGTAATCTAAGATGGAGAATAAGTTGAGTGTGATAAATGAACACACTGCTCTGTGTGAACTTGATCTACACACACTGATCTTATTTTTGCGTAAGCTAAGAACATAACGTGAATTCCAGACAAACATGAGAGTCTCCAAAGGACCCAAGTCAGTATAGACGCCATATTTCCTTTGGTTCCAGTGAAATAAGGCCGTAAGGGATAGGTGTACAGTCTGTTTGATTGGTTCCACTGTTGTGTATCTTGGGCTCGATAGTTCAACGAACAAAATATTAAAAATGAGTCTTCTGAAAAAATCACCAGAGGACAAAAAAACTCCAGGAAACTAGGGTTACCTGCTGTAAACAACAGCTTAGATCAGCATGAATTTCCAAGCTAGTCCAAGCTAGCTTCTTGCTAGTCTAGCTAGTCCACTAGCTTAGCTATGTTTTTTACTAGCAAAAAAAGCTGGTCAACTATATGAGTCTGGATTCTCTGTTGGCTGACCAAGGGAAACTTGCTGGTTAAGCAAGAATCCTGATTGTTTCAACAGGCTTGTGAATATTGGACCTTATTGAAGGGACTGCAATACAAGAACTTGTCTTGAAATCAACAATCAGTCATACTTTGCTGAGTCTTCAAATCTTTCCACAGCATTTCACTCTAACATCTGCGTATAAAACAGGCCTAATTTTGTACGGTAACATACAAATGTAACTGTAATAAGGAGACACCTACTTCTAAAAATAATGGACCAGCTTTCATTTAGGCTCCTCTACTGCTGCTAGCAGCTAGCATGGCCATACCGTCAGAGAATGTTAGGGGTTTTGAGTTACAAGATCGATACATACCACCACCATGAGTGCAGGAATCCAGGAGGCTCTCCTAATGTGATATTCTTTTCCCATCGGATCTAAAAACATAGAAACAGACAGAGAAAAAGAGGTCAAATGCGACTAGAGCAGGTTCAGAATGCATGAACTACAGTTAAAAAGCTCCTTTATAATATCAAAACAATGAAAACAAATTAAACATCTAGCTCTTTCGGTTCAGCAGACCAGTCGTTCCAGTCTAGGGATATACACAAACCGTTTAGTTATTGTGTTATTTTAACAACTACCTGAATAGGTGGACCTACAGCCCTATAATTAGGTCTTACTGGTATAGGGTCACACTTACTGGCACATTTCAAAATGATATATGGACACCTCAATAGATTAAGACAGATACTTAAAAGTTTTTATGGTTTAAACAGACGCTCAAAAACAATTTAATTGTGATGTAATGGCCAAAACACCTGTCTGAATGTATTGTATCACTGGTGCTTTAAAGGGGGTTTACCGTGCAACATAAAACTATAAATTACAGACAAAATTGAAACATTCAATCCTAATTGTGACTTACATCGAAACCAACCTCTAAAGTATAATATATATGTCCAATATATGTCTCTAACACACCATATCAAGTATTAGCTAATGGTGATTTTCTGCACCAAATCAGGTCACGTTCACTCTCTCTTTACAGATTACATCTACTCAGCCTACCACTGTAATGGATGGTACTTTTCCAAGCAGACGTATTGATTTTATAACATGCCCTGTCCATAACTTTGCACCCAAAAAGCTGATGTGCATTATTTTGCGTCTCCCTGATGTAAGGGACTGATTAACAATGTTTTAAAGCATGTGTGTGTTTGTGCTGATCAGTGCAGAGCTGTGTGGCCCCTTGAGGTCCAAGGTGTAAGTAGAGGGAGTTTCAGCAGTAATTGTGAGGTGGCAAAGGGAACAAGCAGGTGACTGCTCCCTCATTAAGCTTCAATGCACAGGTGCATCCTCCTGCTGTGTACCTGCCTGGGCCGAAAGACCTCCCCTGTGGTGTACAAGTGTTCCTGCACTAAGGTCTCGAGATCTGACAAGTGTTCGCCTAATTGAATAGCAACGGAGGTAATGACGACTGTTGACGGCATGCATGTTGACGCCCTACTGCAGTTACATAAACACTGAAACATTGGTAAACATAGCCAACTATTTACTTGTTGACTCATTAATATTTACTTATGGTGTACAGTCTAATTTTGCATGCATATATGGCCTAAGTTGCCTTTCTAAAACTATGCTTTTGGGTTGGATTGATACCCCGATTTTGTCATCAATACCCGAGGAAACATATGCCTCAGGCAGCTAATGCAATTTAAACTATGACTGTCAAGAGATTTAATAATTACCAATAAGTTATTTTGCAGTTAACGTGAATATATTCCAAATGTCTTTTTAAGGGAAAAAAAACAACACTGTCTAAGTGTAGGGTTTGACAGTTCATTAGAATGACGCACACAGCGAAATATATTAACACTTATGGAGACTTTACAGGAGTACATTTGTAATATTAATTAAGGTTAATTAATGCTGTAGAAGTATTGTTCATATTTAGTTAATTTCATCATTTACTAATACATTTTCAAATTTTGAAATTGTAGCCTATGTGATATCATTAGTCAATTAGGGCCCCATGAAGTAAGGTTTTTTTTTTCCTAAATTCCGTTTTTTCCATTTAAATTTTTTTTATTCCGTTTTTTTCAGTTAAAATTTTTCTTGACTCTTTTTTAATAGTTAAATAAAATTTTATTAATCAAAAAGCATGTCTAATTAATTAAAATCATGAAACTTATACATTTTCACATCAATTTATTAAAAGTTTAACAAAAATTACGTTTAGGGCCCTAGAATTTTTTTTTTTTTACCAAATTCTGTGTTTTAGCATGTCTAATTATTTGAATGCATAAAACAACTTACTTTATTCATTTTTTTCTTAAAGTAGCCTTATGAATTTTTTTTTCCTCAGAAATTCTGTGTTGTGTATTTACATTTTTCTGGTTATCAAATGAAGTCATAAAACATTAATTTCATTTATCTTTTAATTATTGAAAATTAAGCAAACTTAATTTTTTGGCAAACAAAGGGGATTTACTATTCAAATTAAAACATGGAAGAAATGTTGTGTGATTATTCTTTAAAAAATAATGTTAGTAGTAGTAGTAGTAGCAGTAGTAGGCTATATAAATTCTACTGAAAAATCTTAAAATCAAACCGGACTTTTATTTTGACGGGTTGCCATGAATACCTTTACAGTTCTGTGTATGAGATATGACTGTAGTTTTACTCAAATCAAACGGTCAAATGCTCATGAAGTGACTCTCAGAGCAGTTCTGGAGATGTTATTCATGTGTTTACGTCCTTATTTAGTAAGACGGCAGACACTGAAATCAAAGCGAGCGTCACGCGCGCTTCAGTAAGTGTGTAGTAAATGAAACCGCGTGTCTGCGCCATTCATTAACAGAGACACGCAGAACATGCAGGATTTAAATCGACTTCTGCGGCTTAATATTTACAAATACTAGTCCATAATCGCAATTTGATTTAAGTGTAATGACCTATTTTTGATTAATTCATTCAAAATTTGACAAATTCCGTGACATTCCGCGTTAAACTCTGAATTCCGTTTTTATGACTGGATTCTGCGATTCCGTCTGCGTTTTTCGTATCGTGGAAAACATAGGGCCCTAGTCAATACACTTTGAACGGACATGAATGATCAAGGAAAAATGTATATATTATTATATCTATTTATATTTAAAAAGTACAATACATTTTCAAGGTTCAGTACTGTTTTTGATTTTTGTAATAAAGTTCAGAAGTATTTTACTTGGAATTTTATGTTTGTTTCCATTCAGTATCCATTTTAAGAACTACTGGTTGATTAACTGGTTATCGGCCAGTACGGCCCAACCTAGTTATAATTATCGGTAAAATCCACTATCTGTCGACCTCTAATAAAATAATAAAATGACTTATTGTTAAACATCTCACTTGGATTGGATTTAAAGATGGATTATAAAATGAAATAATATTCAGTAGATGTATTAAAAGCCATATTTCATGAATCTCACTCAACATATGGAGATGTCCAGGTACTGAAATGTGTTAAATGATGATATCTTCTGCAGTAAATTTTTAAGGAAGTTCTTTTTAAATATTTCTGTATTGTGCCACCTTACACTGGCTAAAATTCAGAAACAACATCTCACCTGTCTGACCAAGATCCTAGGAGGTTCTCACAAGCACAAGGCCAGACTTTAACACAGTGCTTCATCTTTGTCAAACTTTGAGCAAAACATTTAAAAACATGGGGCATATTTGGAAGTCCACTGTGAGCGATTAATGATACCCACATAAACAAACACAGCAGGTACCAGAGGACCACGGCAAATGCAATAAGATAGATGATAACATTTGAAAAGTTCACAATCTGTAAAGGTCCTGAAGCACTAAAGAAGAGTCACACAATCTTTTTAATGTCTTATAATGTCAAACAATTAACATTTACACATCTTTATAACTACAAACACATTTTGTCAAAATTAGCTCCCATATTCATTCAAATTATCAACTGAAAAGCTGAATGGATGACACCTGCTTCTAACAACTATGAATGACTTTTAACATAAAACACAATAAACACAATTTGTGATGACTTTCAAACCTGCAGGTTGGCAAAATCTTTAAAAATCCAACTAATTCAAGTTCCACACAAACTGGCTTCTTCATTCAATTAAAGCATAGGCTAACAAAGTTTGTATAACTTCTTATTAAAAATACAACAAACCAACAGGCTTCAAGTCTTTGATCGGCCTGAAAAGAGAGCATCACAGCAGATCGAGAGTATATTACAAACCAATTGCACTTATTTCCATAGAGGCCAATGTTGAATCAGACTTTTAACATGCAGTCGTGTTTGAGAGCCGTTCTGAACAGAAGTGGTGGCATCACCTCCACTCCAGACATGTAGTGTACTCAAGCTCCATATAATGTTCATATAGTAATCTACAGCAAAAGCTCCACCGCTTCACAAAACTGCAACGACAATCCACTTTATCATGCTAGTAGTAGTAGCCGCACAAATGTTAATGCTGTGATTGCGCCCCCTCAGTGGCGCTGAACTGATTTTTAGAAAAACAATCATAGGTGACATTGCATAATATCACTTCCATTTATTGCTCAAGACCTTTCAATGTTTTAGCAGCTAAACGCAGGATGCTTTGGAGAAACAATATCAGATATTAGTGTTCAAAGATAAAGATGTCTGTTGCAAAAACTATAGCCTATAAGCTTTAAGAGTGTTGTAATGAGAAACTACAATGTTTAGGGAAAACAACTGTTAATATTTCTGTAAAAGTAAAGCTAAAGCTAACAGTTCACATTTGCTGAAACAAAGCAATAGGAATTGATTAATCAATATGACTAATACTTATTCATTTGACCCAAAAAATATTAATTTCTGGCCTCAAACCTGCCTTGAATTAAAGGGATAGTTCACCCAAAAATGAAAATTACCCCATGATTTACTCACACTCAAGCCATCCTAGGTGTATTTGACTTTCTTTGTTCAGACGAATACAATCAGAGTTATAATAAATAACGTCCTGGCTCTTCCAAGCTTTATAATGACAGTGAATAGTGGTAGAGATTTTGAAGTCCAATAAAGTGCATCCGTCCATCATAAAAACTGCTCCACATGGGAGTTAATAAAGGCCTTCTGAAACAAATCGATGCATTACTGTAAGAAAAATATCCACGAGCTTGTGCACGAGTATGTGAGTGGAGTGGAGTGGGAGCAGAGCGGCGTGATTTTTGACTGGAGCAAAGAGTGGATTTTTTTAAAAGAGGGAGCATCGTGCTTTTCACTCGATCTGAGAGCGCTCCACTACCGCTCCATCACGAGCACAATTAATGCCCAAAGCCCATAATATAACTGCAATTTTTCAAGAATTCATGCATGAAACATCATTAGCAAGCTTGACAGATATGTGGATCACTCAAATCAGAAAGAAAATGAAGGTTATGATGGCGATGGATGAGTGCGGGAGGTTATATCTCAAGCATGATTGTTTGTAGCATGTGGATACTCAATATTGGGGGAATTCATGTTTTAAACAGTTTATGGTACAGGTAGTTAATCTTCACTCTTAACTAATGTGCTGCTACATTGTTGCACAACATACAAGCTTGCGCATAACTTACAGACTGCGCGCACATAGAAACATTCAGGAGTGCAGAAAATTATTGTCAATGCTGTCCTGTGATTTATCAGCTTAAAAACGGAAAGGTTACAGCATATTCTTTCCGTTTCTGAAGTAACTACAACCCTCAGCTTCACCATAATAGAGAGACGCTGCACAGACAAGTGAGTTAAACAGCCATTTAATATAGACTTGGGACTAATTGTAGTCTTCCAGTAAACAACGTTAAAACTATTCTTCTAGTATTGTATATTTATTTTTCGTTTAATATAAGTTCTGAATAGAACTTTGTGATATTTAAAAACATACTGAAATACTTTAACCACAAAATTCGTCATGGAGCGAAGGTGGAACGGTGTTTCTGATCAGTGAAGCGAGGAGCGGGAAATGATGAACCCGGAGCGGAGTGATTATTGAATGCTTGGAGTGTGGAGGGGAAATTGTTGCCGCTCACATACACTATTCACGAGAGAGAGGCGTTGTAGTGGATGACGTAGCACGTAGTCGTAGCGTAAGCTCCGGTGAGATGTGCCGAACCCGGAAGTGCAGAGGAGAAAGCAAAACAAAACACAGATCACAAATTAGACGAACAAAACGAGGATTTGTAAGTAAAATGTTGGCGGATTTTGATATAAGCCAAAAGGAGACTGGTTTTCCTTTCCTGTAAACAAAACTTGTTTCTTGCAAGAGTAGCATATACTCACCGGAGCTTATGCTACGCCTACATCATCTGCTGGAACGCCACTCTCTTGTGAACACGTGTACGGCAGTTAGTGGAAGCTAGAGATTACGGTAAAGTTTTAAATATGGATATTTTTAAAAAATAAACGCATCGCTTCACTTCAGAAGGCCTTTATTGACCCCCAGAGCCATGTGGAGCACTTTTATCATGGATAGATGCACTTTTTTGGCCCCCCCCCCCCCCTTTTTGGGGGAAAAACCCCTTTAACATGAGACGGCAGAAAGAGCACCCTTTTTGCTTTTTAATTATTTCACAAAAGCACGATTTGTTTTTATTGTGAATGCAAACAAAGAAATCTTTACAGATTTGAAAGATGTATTACTCTTATATGTATGAGCAAAAATGACCAGTAGCCTATTTTAAGAGCAAGTGAGCGCAGCGGCGCCTCCATCTGTCCTGCAGTGAGCGCTACTGTTCAGCTGCACGCTCCGCACAGACACAAGAGCACACATTGAGTGGCCATGTAAAGTTGCTAATACTTACATATTTCAGATGATAAGCCGTATTTGAGGTTGATGAATGATAGGTGAGCGTTTGGATGTCCTGCCCGATGTACTGTATTACCACATAGACCAGCCGTTAACGATCTGTTCATCACAGACTGCGTGACTTCGCCTGTGGAATTTTTTTTTCTGCGACTAATCAAATTTTGGTCGACCAAGCCTCTTCTGGTCGACTAACGATTAGTTGACTATTAGGGGGTAGCCCTTCATGCAACCTTGCAATTTATGTATTGACTTCACTATAGAGCAGTGGTTTTCAATCCCAGTCTTCGCATCCAGTCTCGGGTATCTTGAGGCAGATACACCGGGTAACTCAAGTCAGGCACTCTGATTTGGGGTCTGGCAAATCTCAGGTGTCTGGTTACTTAAATCAGGTGCATTGAGTCCAGGCAGATGTAGTGTCCATCCAAAGGCAGCAGTAGTTTGTCCTATGTGTGGTCTATTATAAAAGTTTGAAGAGATGTGGGTTTTGCTCCACTGAATATCCCTTGCTGGTTCACTGGCCCATATTCTGATTTGAAGACATTGGACAGCAACATCAAATACTGTCCGCAGCCATATCACCCAGTAGCCCAAGACTGGTTGCCCACTGTCAGTACCTGAATGGGAGACCTCCTGGAAAAACTAGGTTGCTGCTGGAAGAAGTGTTAGTGAGAGCAGAAGGGAGTGCTCACCCTGTGGTCTGTGGGGGTCGTAATGCCCCAGTATAGTGATGGGGACACTATACTGTAAAAAGCACCGTCTTTCGGATGAGACATTAAACCGAGGTCCTGACTCTCTGTGGTCATTAAAAATTCCATGGCACTTCTCGTAAAGAGTAGGGGTGTATCTCCGGTGTCCTGGCCAAATTCCCTCCACTGGCCATTATCAATCATGGCCTCATAATAATCCCCATCCACTGAATTGGCTCTATCTCTATCTCCTCTCCACCTGTAGCTGGTGTGTTGTGAGTGCACTGTGGCTGCCGTCGCATCATCCACGTGGATGCTGTACACTGGTGGTGGTTGAGGAAAGACCCCCCTCATGATGATTGTAAAGCGCTGTGGGTGTAAAGCAATACACAATAAAGCGCTATATAAATGCCTCATTCATTCATTCATTCACTAAACTGGGCCTGAGCTGAATCTAGCAGGCTCTAGAAGCCTCAAGATAAGTATACCAAAAGTAGGAAGGAATGTGAAAAGATGAATATTAATCTAGATTCCATTCAATTAATTTAAAGCAGAATTGTATAAAAATGGTTTTAGAGGTGTCTTCATGAATATATTGTGTCTTGATTAAAAATATTAGTATTCAGTCTAAACTTAAACTGAGTGAGTGTGTCTGAGTCCCAAACAGTGCAAGGAAAACAGTGCTATATCCAACAGTGCTACATGTTGGATAGCGCAATAGAATGGCACAAGTAATGAGGACTAAGACCATTCAAAGATTTGTGTGTGATGAGCATAATCAATGAAGTGATTATAAAACTGGACTGATATAGTCATATTTATTGGTTCTAGTAAGCACTCTAGCTGCTAACTGTTTTGATCCTACAGGGCATCCACACGGTTGCACATTAAATCCAAAGACAGATTATATTCAGAGGATCCAATAACGGGGTAACTTGGTCCAATAACTAATACCTTTGTTATGTCAAAATTGAGAAGAATGAAAAGACTAGCCATCCATTTTTTTTTTATATCACAAATACACTTGGTAAATTGAAAGGTTTCATTAGGTCTGGAGGAGATATAAAGTTGTGTATTGTCTGTTTAACAGTGGAAACTATTGCCATGGTTCCCTAAAATGTCCTCCCCCTAAGGAAGCATAGAAAAGTAAAGGACCTAATACTGAGTTCTGTGGCACTCCATACATTACTTGTGTTCTAACTGACACCTTGTCATTAACACAAAGAAACAGATAGAACTTGGATAGGGAGGACCTGAACTATGCTAATGCCTGCCCACAAATTCCAGCTTAATTCTTGAGCCGATCCAAGAGAATGTCGTAGTCTATAGCAGTCAGAGTATGTGAGCAGAGTGGAGTGGGAGCAGAGCGAGGAGTGGAGAGGTGTGATTTTTGACTGGAGCGGGGAGTGGATTTTTTGAAAGTCAGAGCGTGGTGGTTTTCACTCGCTCAGAGAGCGCTCCACTACCGCTCCATCACGAGCACAATTAATGCCCAAAGCCCATAATATAACTGCAATTTTTCAAGAATTCATGCATGAAACATCATTAGCAAGCTTGACAGATATGTGGATCACTCAAATCAGAAAGAAAATGAAGGTTATGATGGCGATGGATGAGTGCGGGAGGTTATATCTCAAGCATGATTGTTTGTAGCATGTGGATACTCAATATTGGGGGAATTCATGTTTTAAACAGTTTATGGTACAGGTAGTTAATCTTCACTCTTAACTAATGTGCTGCTACATTGTTGCACAACACACAAGCTTGCGCATAACTTACAGACTGCGCGCACATAGAAACATTCAGGAGTGCAGAAAATTATTGTCAATGCTGTCCTGTGATTTATCAGCTTAAAAACGGAAAGGTTACAGCATATTCTTTCCGTTTCTGAAGTAACTACAACCCTCAGCTTCACCATAATAGAGAGACGCTGCACAGACAAGTGAGTTAAACAGCCATTTAATATAGACTTGGGACTAATTGTAGTCTTCCAGTAAACAACGTTAAAACTATTCTTCTAGTATTGTATATTTATTTTTCGTTTAATATAAGTTCTGAATAGAACTTTGTGATATTTAAAAACATACTGAAATACTTTAACCACAAAATTCGTCATGGAGCGAAGGTGGAACGGTGTTTCTGATCAGTGAAGCGAGGAGCGGGAAATGATGAACCCGGAGCGGAGTGATTATTGAATGCTTGGAGTGTGGAGGGGAAATTGTTGCCGCTCACATACACTATTCACGAGAGAGAGGCGTTGTAGTGGATGACGTAGCACGTAGTCGTAGCGTAAGCTCCGGTGAGATGTGCCGAACCCGGAAGTGCAGAGGAGAAAGCAAAACAAAACACAGATCACAAATTAGACGAACAAAACGAGGATTTGTAAGTAAAATGTTGGCGGATTTTGATATAAGCCAAAAGGAGACTGGTTTTCCTTTCCTGTAAACAAAACTTGTTTCTTGCAAGAGTAGCATATACTCACCGGAGCTTATGCTACGCCTACATCATCTGCTGGAACGCCACTCTCTTGTGAACACGTGTACGGCAGTTAGTGGAAGCTAGAGATTACGGTAAAGTTTTAAATATGGATATTTTTAAAAAATAAACGCATCGCTTCGCTTCAGAAGGCCTTTATTGACCCCCCAGGCCATGTGGAGCACTTTTATCATGGATAGGTGCCCTTTTTTGGCCCCCCCCCCCCCATTTTTGGGTGAACTATCCCTTTAATATGAGTTTTTCCTGAGTACACAACAACAATTGTTTGCTTGGGAAAGTTGATTATGCGATACCACTTACCTCTGACAGGAAGGTCTGTGCTGATTTCTGTGCGCCGACATGCAGCAAGTACTCATACACATATAAAGCTAACCTGCAAGAAAAAAGAGAGGAGAAAGGGTGGTTAGGTCTTTAAATTGTGTATTTTGGGTTGTATTTTGGGTTGGTCCCAAACTTCAAGTGAGAAAAATGCAGTTCCACTGGCTCTCCCATTCTAGATGGACAAGCAAACACATTACAGCAATTAATTTTGGTGCATGTTGAAACCTCACGGGTGCTCAGTCACAAAGCATTCTTGGAAATGCAGGCTGGTATAAATTGGTTGAAATCTGAGATTTGAGGCAAGGAGCATGTTTATGGCCAAGTTTATGAAGTCAATATCAGTAAAAGCAAAATGTAAGAATTCTTTATATCAATTGATACCACAGCAAAAAATAAAAAAAATAAAAAAAAATAAAATAAAAAAAAAGAAGTTCACTACCATTCAAAAGTTTTGGGATACTTTTGTAATGTTACAAAAGATGTAATTTTCAAATAAATACTGTTCTGTTGAATGTTCTATTTATCAATAAAAAAAATTTGTTTCCACAAAAAAGCATAAACTGTTTTCAACATTGATAATAATAAGAAATATTTCTTGATCCTATTTCTAATATGCTGATTTGGTGCTCATATGACACTGGAGAAAAATCTGTTAAAATATAAACATTTATTTTGAATGCTAGTATGTATACGTTTAACGGCATATTAATATTAGAATAAATATTAACAAACATAATACCATATAGACGGCAAATATATTCTTTAATGAAATAGAAACTGCTTTTCATTTTGTTATCTTGTTTAGCTGAGTAATTAAAGTAAATATCAGTAAAGAACAAACTCTGGACTCTGGACTCTGAAAAACATGGATTCTGCATAGCGCATTTTGAAATTTAGCTGCTAAATTAAAAGTAGAATTCATTAAACAAATAAAAATTAGGGCTTTCAATTAAGCAAGATTAAATTAAGTAATCTGGTGCAGTTGAAAATTAATGTGATTTAATTAATTAAATAAATATAAATGTAAAAAATAACACAGACACAAAAAAACAAAATCACATAATTACTCCAACACATAAATAAATTAATATGGAGTTTTCCAACCGTCAGAGCAATTCAATCAATGTTTCTAACAGCCACTTTGTAATGTATATTAAACTAATATAAATGTAATAAAGTGTAAATGTCTTCATATGGGGCATTTTTCAGCAAATATTGATGTGATTAAATTAATCACAAACTATTATATTATATATACAGGTGCATCTCAATAAATTAGAATGTCATGGAAAGGTTCATGTATTTCAGTAATTCAACTCAAATTGTGAAACTCGTTATTAAATAAATTCAATGCACACAGACTGAAGTAGTTTAAGTCTTTGGTGCTTTTAGCAGTGTGGGCAGGTGCCAAATCCTGCTGGCAAATGAAATCAGCATTTTCAAAAAGCTGGCCAGCAGAAGGAAGTATGAAGTGCTCCAAAATTTCTTGGTAAACGGGATTGAAAATTGTAAAAATTGACAGCCCAAACAAAAATGCATTATCTGTCCACATACAACACTCCCCATTACTATTTAAAGAGCATCTCCTGAAGAACAGCTTCAAGGATCAAATACCAAGGACTCGTTTTCCCCTCAAACGTCGGAATTATTTCTTGGTGTTTCATCAGACGTACTCATTTTAGGAGCTCCCCTCAAATATATATATATAGCTGTCAACAAAGTCGTACTTTTGTGCAATGCAGGAAAAGATGTCAGAGTTTCGCTTCCAATTTAATTACGGTCATTTTTAACACAAGTATGGTGCGTAGGGTTGGGTATCGTTTGAATTGTATCAATTCTGATTCCAATTCCGCTTATCGGTTCCGATTCTTATCGATTCCTAGTTTCGATTCCAATAACATAAAAAATCCAATATAAAAAAAAATGAAGTCAAACATTTAGATGTCAAACATTTATTCTGTCTTTTTACAAAGCATTCTGTTGCAGCTGAATAACACAAGCAAAAATCAGCAGCCTACATACAGAACACTGCAAGAGGAATTTTGCCTATGCTTTAAAAAAAATACCACAGCAAAAACAACTAGATTAATATAATTTTCTAATATTAAAGTGTTAAAGACAAGTAAACAATCAGTAATGAGATAGGAACAAACAAATCAATTAACTTTTCATAAATAAACTATAGATTAATCAAAGTTATTAAATATATTCAGTCAAGATTAGTGAATGATTTTCTTTTGTTCTTTGATTAACATTAATAACAGGCAGCGCGTTTATTAGGCTGCTGTCTCTTTAACACCGAACGCACGCAGATCTAAAAATACTGTACATGTGTGTTTTCTTTCTCATCTGTTTACGCTCACGTAAGACAAAAATGGCTGTGTTTATGATATACTGACGTAGTTTTCTACATATTAGTCGACAAATATGAAAGAAGTCAGTTTCGGCCCAGAACAACCTTTTCTACAGTGGAAATACACGGTACGGTTCGAGAACGGACACAAACCGGGAACCCGTACCGCGACCTCTGTTCTCTGTGCTCGCGCTTCGTGTGCGCTGCACGCAAACAGGGCGCAAGTTCTTTCCGTTCCTGAACTTAAATAGTTTTTAATCACATTAAAATACGAACGCAGGAATCGTTAAGCAGAATCTAAATGCACGCGTCTTATCGAATACCCAGTTCTTGGAAATTTGGAACGGTTCTAAAATGGAACCGGTTTTCGATACCAAACCCTAATGGTGCGGAACTCATATCACACTTAATTTTCTCAAAAACACATAACATCTGCGCAGGTTCTTCCCACAATGTGACGGAAGCACACAGTGACATGATGAGTTCACGGACACCCATCAAATGCCTGACAGACTGATCCACCCTCTCACATCATTCCCAAAATGATGGACTTCCTCAACTTGGAAGAAAACACCTAGATGAACGAATCTAAATCTTTATTGATTCAGAGTTTTTAGCAACAGGGCTTAAATTAGCATTTAGCATTCTGGACATCATATCTATCTACAAAAAACTCAATCTGTTGCGCAAAATGCATCTTACATGAACATCTCATTGGTATCCACAGTTAAAGGCCCATTCACACCAAGAACGAAAACTATTATGATACTATATTAGCATTCACGCTAGGGCTGCACGATAAATTGCATGCGATATTTAACATTAACTACACAGAGCCGTTGTTCACTGACACGCTGCGCAAAAAATGCGCAAAATATGATCGTGGTTTTGCGCAGCTTGTCAGTGAACAACGGCTCTGTGTAGTAAATGCTTCTCCATGTGAAAGCACGCACGTGATGGAGATTTACGGCTGATTACAGAACTGGCTTTACTGACAAAATGCGCGTTAAATATCGCATGCGATTTATCGTGAGGCCCTAATCCACATTAATGGACGATAACGCTCTGTTTGTTATAAGCACATGCTGCAGTTTTGATGACGGCTGCTTTAAACACTTTAGCTTTTTAAAGTCCCCCTGTAGTGAAAATCAAGTTTTTTATGTTGTTTATTTGTCTATGTGGTGTTTTTAATATGCTTTTAGACAAACCATGTGCCAATCTATTAATCAACACCATTGCTGTGTATTTTCTCCTTAAAACTGTAGTTTCCCAAAGGCTGACCCAGAAATATGGTTTGAAACAGCCCTTGGTTTGCTACATCACAAACCAATAACCAATCACGTCAAGGGATCAATTCCTATCACTAGCATGTGATCTCTCCCGCAGCTGCGTCTGCACTTCACATGAGTATGCTCGCAGCCGCGAAATAACAATCACAAACGGCTGCATTCGAGTCTTCAAGGCATTTTAGGACACAACATCGTCAAGTAAGTAACTAACGAATGTTACAGTATTCGCTGTAGTTGTCCGCTAGTAAAAACATAGTTTTATCAGTCATTATCCGTGTATGCCATTGTTTTGCGGTTACTACAGTTCAGTGGATCAGGAGCGCTGGCTGTGTGACTGAGTGGAGGCAGGACTAATTTGCATATTCATAGATCCGCGTATCGTAATTGAGGCAAGGGTGTAGAGTTACATTCAAGCTATTTTAAGGCATGAGAAAATTATTTTCACAAGAAAAAACATTTAAATATGTAATTTTGATGATCAAAGATAAGTTTTAAGGGATAAAATATTTGACTACAGCGGGACTTTAAGAACGATAATTTGGCATTCCACATCAACAGACGATAACATTGTTTAATACAAATGCGTTCTGCAGTTTTGTTGGCTGCCACTTAAAATGCTCAAGCTTTTTAAGAACGATAACTATATTAGCGTCCACATCAACGGACGATAACATTCTGTTTGTTATAAGAATGAGCTGCAGTTTTGTCGCCTGATCCTGATGCTTTTTAAGAGCGATAACTATATTAGCGTCTAGTGGTCGACCAAGAGGTGTTTTTTGACAGCCGATGCAGATATCTTGGAAAGCAATATAATTTTATTTATTTTAATTTATATTTAAGAAATTTGAAATCATTTGAAAATGGATTAAAGATAATTGTGTAAAATAAACATACTTATACTTTAGAAGACAAAGCATTTATCACAAATAAATAAATATTTTATAAAAATCTAACTAAAAAGGAAGTAAACACGGTAACCAACAGGGCACTCAGTATTCTGGGAAGTGTGTGTGAATCTTTTTTTTTTTTTCAAATAAAGCCAAGGTAACACTTATTTTACATAAAGCACGCAATGAAAATGACATGAATATGATAGTGGGCAACTGCATAAAGCACAGCATAATTTGAAAGTCACGAGTTTAAAGTTTGTCGATCGCGCATCTCCAGTGAAGCTGAACTCTCCTCCGGTCAGCATTCAATTTGCACGGATCGACCGTCACCCAGAAAACACGTGATCATGCAGGATACAAATGCACACTTCACAAGATCTCAACTAGATTCGACCAAGTCTGCAAGGTTTGTGAAATTAAATGTTCATTAGTCATTCAAAGATTTGTTTAAATGATATAAATGCGTGTTTGCTGAATGCTGACGGCAAATGAGAAAGTATTATAATGTTTGCCTTTCTAT